ATGAAAGCTAGCAGCCCCACAAGGATTACAGGACTGTTTTCAATGTGATCAGACAAAAACAGTGCCAGACAAATAATCGTTACCATTAATTTGATTCATTTTTATCAATTGGGCAGCTCTATGCATTCATTTTGGAAGGATTTCTGCACTATCAATTAACTTTTTTCTCTTACTAGCCACTTTTGCTATTCCCAATGCCTGGTTTCAGTATTAACAGATACTTCATGCATTCTCCCATGAAGCTTTTGCTCGCCTTCATGAAGTGTCATTAGGATATTCCCACTGATAGGGAAACAGGGAGGGTAATGCTCTGCCCACAGACTGCACTGATAACACAGGTGAGACTGAAAATCAGATGCCCTGACTCTGTCTCCTCCCTAAACAACAAGATAATAACAAAGAACACAAATCTCCAGCTTTTAAGTGCTTTTCACAAAGGAGTTGCAGAGGAGGCTGCAACTACCCCCAGCAACTTAGTACTAAACTACAGTTAAATATACTGGTTTTTAAAGTTAAAAACCAAAAATCTAATGTGAAACTACTTGATACAATGGGTCCATTTCTCCTTGAATTTTCCTCCTGTGAATTATCTTCTATTTTTAGGTCTTTTATTTTTAGGCTGCTGCATGCTATTGCTGGGCAACTCGTCCGACTATTAATTGGAAATGTTTTGCTTCTTATGCAGTTTTATTTCTTTGCTTTCTGGACCACTTACACCAAACTGTCCTCCGAGGAGATGACAGGCTATGGAGGGCGCATGCAAAGGACAGTTACAAGCTGTGCTCCTCAGGCAGTGTGGCACCATTATAAACCTTTTGCTGTTCTCTCCTCCTACACCTGCGTACGTTTGTGTCTGCACACTCATTTTTCTTCAGCCATGTCAAACTTTATTGAGTATTAGGGCCATATGGCAGCAGTTCAGCAAGCTCTCACTATGCAGCTGAGATTAAAAGACACCCTGAGCACAGGCGGTGGTGTCCCGTGACAATATCCGTGTGCTGTATGCGGTGCTCAGTCCTGACAAGTAGATCCAAATGATCTGACATGAGGTGGGGTGGGAGCTGGAAAACCCAGCAGGGCACTTCTCGGCTGCAGGTCCCCGCATTTTTGGCAGCTGCGTTACAGACTTCGAGGTGCTGTGCAACCCAGCCGAGCCTGAAGCTGAACTTAAGAGAGTGGTACATGATCATAACCGCTATTTTTAATGCTATTGTCACTACCTTTCTCAGTAACCTAGACAACAGCAAAAACCTCATTTCTTCCCAATTTCAGAACACTACTACACTAGTTTGAACTACTGTTCGAACTGAAGTCGGTGGCAAAGTACAAACCGGGAATAAAATAAGCCTCCGTTCAACTGGCATTTCATTTAAAGGGACTTAACATTTGCTGGGATATTTAACTGTGCAAAGCTCTCATGCCTTTTCAAGCTACCACTTTAAAACGCTAGCTAAAAATATTTGCGTTATCTGAAGTCAGATGAATAAATCCTCCCTACTGCTGGGTACACAGTGTGGCAGTGTACAGTACAACTGCAAATGTATTTGTTAGAAACTCTACATCTGTTATGATTTATGCTTGCCAAAATATAATTCTTTATGGCAACAATTGTTTCATGGTGCTTAAAGTTTTTCACCTCTGTGCCAGGAATCTCATATGGGATAATTCCATGACCTTGGAATCCAGCAGATACATTCCACATCTGTCTGGTCTGGGAAAGCCCGAGTTTGTTGTGTGAAAACCAGAGTGGGAAAATAAGACCTGGAAATATCTGAAAATACAGAAACTGCAGAGCTGCTTCTTTTTTTTTAACTACCAGTTTCAAGGGCAGTAAATTAATCTCACAGAAGCGGTTACTTTGCTTTTGTAAGCAGACATTCAATTCTGATCCTATCTTCAAATTAAGAAATATGGTATAAACATTAAAATAATTCTATCTCTGGAAAAAATCACAGCCTTTAAATATTAGAACTAAATCTTGTGGAAAGCTGCCTGAGATTTAAATGGAAAAGCACCCAACCTACTGCAATCTTACTGGTACCTGTGAAGATTTAAGATGGCAGAAAAACTTTAGTTGTCCTGAAATCTCAGGGAAAACACTTTTCTCATCAGACTTTTTAACAAAAAAATGAACCATAAACAGTTTTTTGTGCAGTGAACTTAAAAAGCCATGGTTTCCTGTGACTCTTCTCCGTGCACATTTTCTGTTATTCTAATAATTTGGCTGATCTCCTGCTGCAGCCTTGCTTTCCATGGGGCACCGTAGCATTTCATGCGTACAGCCTGGACCTCAAATAACCTGCACCCTACTACGATATGAGCAACACTGGAGATGAGATGGGGGATAGAAAGCCACAAAAAAGTTATACTAAGAAAAAAGAAGAAAAGATGAATGTGCTTGCTTGACAGAAGGGGGAGACTAAATATTCTTGTCCACACTAACCAGGATGATATTCCTAGTTTAAAGCAGGAATTGCTGTTCTGATCATCACCGAGCTTGGGAGTCTCCCTTTCAAAAGGGCTTAATGGTTGCACATCAGCCTGCAAATCCTGAAGGCGCCAAATCACTTATAGCTTATGTCTTTCTGCAGGATCAATATACTTAAAAGATGGTATCCCAAAGGGATGCCACAGAAGAAGACAACATTGCAGGCTAATCAGAAATTAACGATTAATTAATAAAGTTCATAAGAAACTGTGCTAAAATTTTAAAATCCATGTGTGAGCCCTGGGTGTCTTAGGGAAGCTTTTATGATAAGGAGTCACAAGATCCCACTTGGAGCCAGTATTGGTGACACAGGTGCACCAAGCTGTAAGCTGGTAACTGATATGTCTAAGGCATGCCATGAATAACCATGGTTCATAATAAATGAGTACCTTGCTTCAAAATTGCATGACAAACTGAGCTTTGTACTACTGGATACAGAGTACTCCAAAGGAGGCTGCATTCTGGTGATATATGAAATGCTTTCTGCATATATAGCAGCCAAACAAATTGGCTGCATTTGAGTGTGAGTGATTACAAGGCCACAAACATCAAAAAACATACAAAAGAAGCTAATGACTTTTCAACATATTGTGACTACAAACCAGCCAAACCTACTTTGAACCAGTTTGTAGAATACTGTGTTCCTGGCAGCTCACATCAGCTCTCCTGCAGAAAAGTTTAACATCAAAGATGTAAACTCCTGTGAAATCAGGTTTAAAGTACAAAACTGAAACTCTGTGCAAGCGGGCACAAATAATACTGCAGCACAAGAAATAGTTGATACTGGATATTCATTCTTTCATGCAGAAAAATATAGGCAATTTCCAAAGTGTGAAACTGTGTTAGATTTATAGTGGAAGGGTGAGGTGAGCAGATACTTTATGATTATGCAGTATGCAGTGTTAATAGTTTCTACCCTGTCTTAACAGCTGTTCCATCAAGAGGGGGAAAATAAAGGTCCCTGGTAATTCTTAAGCAAGCTGCCAATTTTCCACATGGGATTCGATGGCTAAGAAAATCAGGTTTTCCTAGTCTCGTGCTGCTGCAAAGAATAACAGGACACTTAGTAACACTAGCAGTAATAAAAATTTTTCTTATATACTCCGTATCTTGTTAATGAAAAAAATCCCTATCTAGCAGTAGTCTCTTTTATTCTGACACTACTGTTTTGGAGGGGCACTGCTCATCACATATTTAAAGTTCCTGAAGTGTCCAACTGTGTGATATACAGGTGCAGTGATTTGCACTGACTATTTTGTGAGCATCAGAAGAGAAACTATGTTCATAAATCAAGTATGTATTCAAGCACCAGCATCCAACATTCAAGAGGAGAGAAAGAATGAAATTTTAAGTGTCAGATATTGCTTACAAACCAAATTTTGGCTGCCTTGGATAGAGGCACCTAGCCAAAAAAATTACAGATAAGGAGCAAGCATGGCTTCTAAGCCATTTGCAATGGGTGCTGTACTTTATCACCTGAGCAGAGCAGGGTCACATCACAACACAGCAGCCCGATGCAGTCAGAGATGTACTCTGTGTACATACAACTACATCCCAAGGCGACACAACGACACCATGTTCCTTGCATCCACCTGACCCACCTTCTTCCACTGAGAGACTCCGATTTACCTCATCACTGCTGTGCCACCACTGCCTTGTTGCTGATCATGCAACATCTGGCCTGGGATGTGCACTTGAACTGTCACCACACAGCCATATCTTGGTCATTCCCTGTCTCTAGATTTGTGTATGAACACTCACAGCTGGTACTGAAATACCATATACAATCATATCCTAATGCTGGCTTGTTATTCTTAGTCTGAGTCTCCCTAATACCTTTTGATATCTTGCTATATCACAGTGCCTAGGTATGAGATACCAAGGATCCAAATATTTATGTCAGAGGGGGAGGAAAAACCCCATCGGCATCTCTGTGCAGAAGTGAGATGGTGGAACTGAAGTGTCAGATAATCTCCCAAAAAGATGTCAGCATTTTCGGCTGCCTGACAGATCTGTCTGCCTGTGTGAGAGTAAACAAGAAAATGGCTCAGCCGTTTGGACTGAGTTTAAAGCAAAACAAAGAACAAATTATCCATTTTCAGATCAGGTCTCCTGCTCCAGTTTACAGATATTTGTTTGTGACTACCCCTGTAAGTCCCTTTTGGAACACTGGTAAATGCACTGTGTGGCTGACCAGCCAGGTTAAAGTATTGGTGATTTAAACAAGAAAAACCTCATGTAGAAATCAAACATTCAAACAGTGAAGACAATAGACACACCTCAAAATTCCTCCACATCTTCAATTTACTGGAAATTAGGGATCATCCCACTTAAGATATTTTCATGGAACTGGTGTCTGAATTCATTTGAATTTTGAGTAATTCCCCTGGTTTGAGCAGAGTTAGTTCAGATGTATGCTGAAGTAAGAGATTAAACTGAACCCAAATGCCTTTAATACAAAGTCTTGATCTTTACCAGGAAATGACAGAGCTTATCAGGATGCCAATCCTACCTCTGTAATAATGAAGAAGTCATCACCGGGCTCTCCCTGCACAACAATTTTTTCTCCATCTTCAAACTGGACAGGTTCCAGTGCATCAGCCACCGTCAGCCGCTCCCATTTGTCCAGGGACTCTAAAATATTGACGATCATAAAGCTTTATTATAAAAAGACTCTAACTTTGGTTGAAGATTCATATCTAAACTGACAGCTCTGCTATGTCTGAGCTATGGTTCTGTTATAAAAGAAACATTTCTTTCATCCAGGCACTTTTCACGAACCTCCAGTTGGGAAACATGTATGTATTTATTCATTGTGTCTTAGACTTTAGTAATCACCCAGATAATAATCTTAAAAGTTGGACAGGAAAATTTGGCTCTGGTTCCCTCCGCCTGCGATCTGATCTGCGCTGCTCTGATGCTGCACAGACTGGAGATACCAGCAATATGGGAGCGCCGAGATCCTCTTTTACCACATCCCACACCAGATGTCAGAACAAGTCCTACTGTCTTTTCGTCAGTTGCTCTCAGCTGGTTATGGATGACTTGCCAGATAAGCGATGTGGAAGTGCCAATCCAAAAGCTGACTCTTACCCCATGGGTAACACCATGCACCACTGAAGCCAACAGCAGGACCCTGGCAGCACGGGTGGTGGTGGGACCAGGGGCTCAGTATGGATGTTTGAAGTGGCACTTTTGTTACACTTGCCAGTGGGATGGCTTACAAAATCTTTTTCTTTTCTTTCCTCCACTTGGGGAGAAAAGTTATAAAACTTAAAAGTAAACTTCAATAAGAAAAAATTACTGGTCCGTTTTATGAGTAACAGAGCTAACGCAGCCTTGCTTCCTGGGACTTGGTGTTCTTATCACCACCTGCAGCTGCCACAAATCCCCAGCAATACCTGCACAGCCAGAGCCAGCCTGCACAGCAGCTCATCCAGGGCTACTCACTGTCCTGCTCCTTCCTCCTCCCATCTGCTAAGGGATGAATTTTACCCCTCCTGCCCCCGGGGAGAGGCCGGCTGCCAGCCCGTGTCGCTCTCCTCTACTATTTGCATGAGAATTCAAGACAATGAATGGTACTTGAACCTCTGTACTTTTATCAGATTTGACTGAAAGAGGTGACAGGTGTAAAAGTTATTAAAAGAAACAGATAATACAATGGTATAACCTTCACTGCCTCAAAATGCTGGGCTAAAATTCATGCACTACAGCTCTGCTGATTCTTACTTATTATGAATTATTGAGCTATTGTAAGTCAAGACACAGCTCCTGACACCAGAATTAGATCTGGGCTGTTCTCTCAGACCCTACTTTTCCCATTTTGTTCAAAATATTGCTTAGAAGTGTTGTGTGAGGGTGAAAGAATTGTTCTTTAAAAGTTAAAAAGTCTTTTGGCTGAGCTTAGAAGTGCACACTGAGTCTGGTAGCAAAACCAGATTGAAGTGACCAATGCACCAAAGGTGCATTTTGAGTTGTCTGACAAAAATACAGCTTCATGTTTTCATGCCACTTTCTGTTTACAAATCACTACTTCTAATATTTTCTCCACCTATAATCAATAATGCATTTTCCTGGTATATTTGTGGCCTTTGCTGCAGAAGCATTAATATCCAAGACCAAGCCCATATTGTGAATGCAACGTTCAGAAAGTTCTCTGTTTGACTAAAAATAAGCATAAAACTCCTCCAAACAGACTAAAGTCGGCTTTTTCATTTAAAAAAAAAAGGAACTCGGTAATTAAGAACTAAAAGAAAGAGTCTCTTGAAACTTCTTCTTTAGTTGGCTTTATGAAAAATTCAAAGCTAATTCTAGCTGTAGTCACAAAGTGTGTCTCTTTTGTCTAAGGAAATTGTACCGCTACAAATACATTGCTCAATGGTTCTTGCAAATAGAGCATTATATAGAAGACTGTACATGATAAAAGCCTTAAAGTTGCAGAGTTAAAGTCAAGCATCAAATAAAGCAGACGATACGGAATTTTTTACAATTTCTAAATTGTACATATCGATTCATGGTCGTACATTTAATTAAACTTCAGAGGAAAGAATTTAAACAATTAGTTTTCTCATATCTTGTTCAATAAGCAGCTGCTGATAATCTAAAAAATCCTTAGACTTAAAAATAGAAAAATTGCTTTTAAAGTTGCATGGCTAGTTACAGACACTATGAAAGCCTTGGAAAAAAAATATATAAGGAGCAGGTAGAGGTTTTTCCACCAAGAAATCACCAAGGTCTGACCACATTAAGGCATGAAGTTGACTTCTCACTGCTGTGTCTCAACACAGCATTATTCCTAAAATACTTCTCTGTTTTCCAGCTGTCATCTACTTTTTAGACATATGAAATAGATCCTTACATATTTCACCTAAATTCTCAATGCTCGTGGAATGATGCATTATTTTGTCTGCTGCTTTTCCGTACTTAAAAAAAGTTCAAATCTTGAAGTCCTACCTCATTTTTTACTGAGATTGAAAAGCCATACTACAAACTAGGATATAATTATGTTGCAAACTGTGTGTTTAAGGAAGCGCATCTTTGAATAACCTTTCTTCTCTGAAATTGTTTTGAGATGTCTCGTTGTAATTGCTTCTCATTACTGCAGGTGCAGAGATCCTTTTTTCTTTAAATACTCACTGTAATTTGGTATAATTTGTGCTCTTAATTTAGGAAGATTTAAATTAAGCATAAAATAAGGCATTTAAATGATGAAAACATCATTAATAAGTGAGCAAAGTGAGCAACATACTTGGCCTTACTTTAAGCATACAAATGTAATTGAAAATTTCATGCATAGCACCTCTCAGAAGTTCAAGTATATTTTCACTAAGACTCTCATATTTCAGGTAAATAAGTTCAGATGGTAGAGGATTACCATAAACAAGAAAAGAAAATTGTTTAAATAGAAATATAAATGTTTTAATTATATAGCAAATTAATCCTGTACTGTTTTGTTGGTTTGGTTTTTTTCAAAATAGCCCCAGCAGAAACATGATGTGTCTCCTACAGCATCAGCATTTCATTGTACTGTCGAACACTGTCCTCCTTATTAGAGGCTTTTGTTCTCCTAATGGTGATTGATTGGTCAGGCATTATGGGTTTGTTGTTTTTCCTACTGAATGCCATCAAGAACATGTCCGAATTTCGTGGCTATCACATTAATCAAAGGGAAACAAAATCCAAGGACAAGAAGCTAAACAGATGTTTTAAGAATGTGAGACAGGGGCTGTAAAATACACAGAAGAAGAAAAAATCGGTTCAATTTGATTTGTGGGGTTAGTTTGTTTAGTGCACATAAATACAGTATTCTCACAGGAAAAAGCTTTTCACCTGTCACCTGGAAGGATGTAACTAGACTTTATGACAAATTAATATCCCTGCACTGCTTTCTCCTCTACCTATATGATCTCTACTGCATCAGCAGCTACCAAAAGGTTACTAATGCATGCCTGCTCCCATATTTAAGGGAACATTTGCCCTTCAAATACATATTCAGTGAATCTTAAAGAATGGGAAAAACAATTCCTAAAAAGGGCCCATTCCACTTTCATTCCTTCAGAAACAAAACCTTCTGTTTGGCCACCATTGCTTTCATCGTGCCATCAAAGACCAAACTTCACGCCACCAACACATATAACAGAGAAACCAGCACACAAGTCCAAAGAGCGACTGACCCAGAATGGAGACCTTGCTCAGGAATTCTTCATACATCTTCCGCTTTCTCAGCGTGCTGCCCTGTTATTAAAGGAGAGAGAAAAAAGAGGTACAACATTACATGAAGTATTTTTGTGATTTCTTCCTACAGCTGCTCTTTTTTTTCCCCTCCCCTTCCAAATCTTAAGCACAGCCAGTATAAACAGCCTAAGGCAAATGTTTCCCCATAAAATGTCTGGGCAAGTTGTATTGCTGATAAGCAAAGACAGAAGGAATCAAATTCAATCCTGGTGTAATTTCACTGACTTCACTGGTGTTACTGGACACCGTGGATGAATTGTATCCATTATTTACAGGCACTCATTTTAAAGCCAGGGCTTCATCAATTAACTGTTTAGCTAATTCAATATATATCTTGTTACCAATGAGGCCCTGCTAGAAGGGAATTTACTATTACAAAGTAGGATAAAACTTACAGTGTCCCCCTCATGGGTCCCATCCTTTTAGGTTAAACTTCTTTAATACCAAGAGTGTTAATCTGTAAGCCTGGTTTATATTCTGTACAGTGTTGAATATATTGTTCCTGTTGAGCGACCTATTCATATTATTATTTTAACAAGATTTAAGCATTTTGGAGAAGACAATCCATCAATGCATGTGCAACCACCAACACAGTCACTCCCACTCTGGTAAGATTTTATTGTGTGATAAATCACTGAGAAACCTTCTTCTCACATAGTGTTTGCTCACCATAGACAGAAACCATAAGTAGCCATTCCAGCATGCGGTTTTGAAGGCAATTCAGGTGAAAGAAAAAAGATGGTGGAGTTTTACCAGTACAAAAACAATTAATGAATCCTTAACTTCTCCTGCAGTGACATTAATTACTTGAAAACCTTCCCAGGGACCAAAGAGGAACTCCAAGGTCCTCCTTGGTACCGTGCAGTTTATTCCGCACTGTTACATGACAGCTTGCACTGTTTCTGCCTGGGTAGATTCCCTGTGGACGTGAAGGCTTCCTGATGCCTGCTAGTAAAATCTAGAAGTGCAATGTAAAGATGATACACTCATCTTCTGCAGAAAGGTGAAATAAAGATGGCATTTACTTATAGGCTGGGCAGAGAAGACAGAAGCAGACGTCATGTCTGCCATAGAAAAAGTCACTTCTCTATTCCTTCTTCTCCAAGTGAGCACTGGTAAGTGCTGGAGCAGAGAGAGAAAGTGGGGGCAGACAAAGGAAGAGAGGAACCATTTTACTCTCCACTGTGAAAGCATTCAGAAATGCTTTAAGTACAAAAATAGGAAAGGCTGGTGTACTCAAGTGCAATGGCACAACTAAGAATTAAACATTGTGTGTCTTACCATACACATTGTGCAGGTGGGGCCAGATCCAATGATCACCAAAGCATCGTGAATCCGTCTACCAACATCAACAAGCTTTGGCACCAACAGAAGCTGCCGGGTGCTCTCCTCTGGGGACAGCACCCATTTGTGCCCCTCTCCTAGGGCCATGCCTGCTCCGAAACAGCCACAGCACTGTCAGGAGCTGCCGCCCTTCCCAGGTATATCTGAATCCACAGCAGCACCAGCTACCGAGTTCTCCCCCCTGTACCCTGTTCATAATTTCTGAGTCTGGTGATGACAGTTCGCCTCTCAGCGATAGCATCGGTAACCCTTGTCTGACCTCTCTGTCTGACAAACCTGGTTCTCAACCTTGGGGCCCCTGAGAGCATTTGAAGTGTCAGAAAGGAAAAAAAAATGAACTTCAAACGGAGGAGGCTCTGCAAACCACGCCAGATCCTGACAGCTTGCTGTGAGACAAAGGATGGAAAACTGGACACTGCGCAGTTGTTGCTTTCCTCCCTGCAATCGAGTGGAAATGAGAGCAGCAAAATTGACAGCTGTGGAAAACCAGATTGGTGGTTTAGTTTGATGGGCTGGGGCACCCAGGGACAGATGTGGAAAATGCTTTTTAAATGACTTGCGGACACAGATGAATTTTAAGAAGCAGTAATCAGTAGCCATAAGTGACGCCTGACTACAGCTTTGAGTATTTAGAGATGCAGACAAGATCCAGGAAGGTGAGAATTGCAGGCATCCCGCCTGGCCTGGAGAGCCTTAGCCCATCACTTCCTACAGGAAAATGGGCGTGTTAGGTCTTGGCTAAACTAAGCCAGGGCAGAATTCACTGTGAAGACAAGTGCAAAAGCAAAACTGAAGTGGAAATAATTAATTAAATGTGCTATTACCATTTTTTTGTATCATGATAGTATCTAGAACTTCAGTGGGGCTCCACTTATGTCTCAAAATGGTAGCACAGACAAAGGTAAGGGACAACAGCCTAGGGAAGAACTAGTGCTTGAGGTTTAGGACTCCTGTTTCCCAGCACATGCACTGAAACCCAAGGTGACCCAACTGACGGCTCATCCCAGCTGGTACAACAAGATCTCCATTTCTCTTCCAGAAAGGAGAAGCTTAGTGCATCCTCATGCACACTGTTTGCACTTCAGTTTTCCTGCTCAAGAACAGTGAGGGGAAGAGATTTTCAGAGAACACTAATATAAGCTAAAAGTAACGCAGCAGTAAAGTCTTACAAACCACTAAAGCACGTGCTTACTTCCATTGATATTAACCACCTTTTCCTCCCCATGAAAGAGAGAGAGAACATGTCTAGTTTCCACCTTCAGTCAGTCTAATACTCCCTTCTCATGGCCTCCTACAGGCATAATGTAATCTCTGACTCCTGATGTCTTTTGCATACTTGCTTTATTTGGTCTGGTTGCTTTACCCAAATTGTTGAGGCCATGAACACCATCCTAACCTCTTCTACTACCCTGCAAGTCATTTCTGCAGAAGTATCAACCGCACACTCCCTGGGACATGTGCTAAGTCTGTTCTTATGCAATATTTTCATGAATCTTCTAGAAACAGCAACAAATCAAACAGTAATGATATCTGCAGACTAGGAGACACTATGAAAGCTTGCCAGGACAGGAAAATAACAAGAAAGAACCTAGAAACATTAGAAATGGGAGTAGAAAATAATAGAACGAGCTTCTGTTTGGAAAATACAGCTAAGAAATGCAAAGAAAAAGAATCCAAAGCACTTATCTTTGATGAATGGAAGAAGACTGGAACATTGTTAAGGTGTAAGAGATTTACAGACAGAAGGTGAGACCCAGTTTGCAACATCAGACTGCAACAAAAATACAGCCAAGGCTATTTCGGTCTATGTACTGAAAGACACCATCCAGCAACAAAGTTTAAAATCTCCATCTCCACATCAGATGTGGTGGCACCTGGTTTGCTATGCTCTGTCTGGGTACCTCTTCTCCAGAAACGTGCTCCTAAACCAAACAGAGCCTGAATCACAGAATCACAGAATATTAGGAGTTGGAAGGGACCTCGAAAGATCATCCAGTCCAACCCCCCTGCCAGAGCAGGAACACCTATGCTCCAGCTTGCACCCATTGCCCCTTGTCCTGTCATTGGCTGTCACTGAGAAGAGCCTGGCTCCTTCCTCCTGACACTCGCCCTTTACAAATTTATACACATGAATGAGGTCACCCCTCAGTCTCCTCTTCTCCAAGCTAAAGAGACCCAGCTCCCTCAGCTGCTCCTCAGAAGGGAGATGCTCCACTCCCTCCATCATCTCTGTGGCCCTGTGCTGGACTCTTTCAAGCAATTCCCTGTCCTCCTTGAACTGAGGGGCCCAGAACTGAACACAATATTCCAGATGCGGTCTCACCAGGGCAGAGTAGAGGGGAAGGAGAACCTCTCTGACCTACAACCACCCCCCTCCTGATACACCCCAGGATGCCATTGGCCTTCTTGGCCACAAGGGCACAGGGCTGGCTCAAGGTCATCCTGCTGGCCACCAACACCCCCAGGTCTTTTTCTGCCTGGCAGCTCCAGCCACTCGTCCCCAAGCCTGCAGTGCTGCATGGGGTTATGAAGAAATGCTAAAACACTTGGGGAGAGCTGGTAAGGAAGGAGCAAAATAAATGCAGCTTGTATAGTTCTGCTCAGTGCTGGGATCATAGGTATGTCATGCTCATAGCTAGCATGCATTGTTGCAAGGGTTTAAAGTAGACAGTGATAATCATCTACAGATATATGACAGAAAGAGAGGGCAATTTAGTACAGCATAACTTGACATAACTCAAGGTAATAGGAGAAAATTAAGAAAATCTAATTTAAGATGAATATCAGAAAAGTTTTCCCAACTTAGGAATTATTCTCTTGCAGAAAAGTTTCCCAAGGGAAGCAGTAGAAATCTTACTGCTTGAGCCAGATAAAAACAATAGTAAATGTACATGAATAATTCTGCACTGGCAGGGTTCTTGATGGCATGTTTTGAAAAGTCTTTATTAATTCTGCTTTTTCTAACCTATTAATATCTTATTTCAATAGTTGCTGCTTCTCCCTCTCCCTCCTTTCCTTTGTTCACTTTCTCCCTGGTTCAGAGCTGTCATGCACAAGCTCATCTTCTTAAAGACAGTGGTTCCCACTGACTACGAAGACTTATTAATATTCTGCAGTGCTCCTCCCTGAAGCAGTCCCAAGGAGAAACAAGATCACTTACATTTGCCAAATACACCCAGAAAAGAGCTTAAAGCCAGTTTTAGGACCACTTAAAAACGTAGCATGCCCTAAGCTTAGCTTAAGCAATACACAGGCTAGGAAAAATGAATGCCCCAGGTATTGTAACAGGTCTTGTCAAACAGGACTGTTGCATCACTTTTCCAACTGCCCCTTCTTCAGTTCCCCTGTTTTCTCTCATTTCTTCTTCCCACTTCTCCAGTCTGGTCCCTGTCTCTCTTCCCCTCTGCTCGTCTCTTTGCTTTGTCCCTCCAGCACTCTCTTCTTTCTTGCTTCATTTTTTCAGGCGGAGTTAAATGGATCCTTCCTAGGAATCCCCACCTTCAATAAAAAGCCAAACAAATGACTCAAGTTTCAGATAAAAGGAGTTATGCTGGCAGGAGGTGCCCAAATGGCCTTCTGGGCTGCTCCAGCCCTATTTAAACCCTGCATAAACCGGAAACTGAACAATGCTTTGGGTGTACATTCTTACAGGAGCATGAAAGAGTCACTGTGCATACTGGCCGTGAAAATCAAACAGGCTACAAGATCCCGGTGCTGTACTGCACAGGTGTCGGACGGATTGCAGGCTTCAGATTTGCTTTATGTTTTGGCCGCTACACAACCCACTATTTACAGCTACACAAAGTCCTTCTGGCTTTATTTCATCTGAGAAAAGGCACTTGTTAAAGAACATGTTCTCACATTCAAAGCTGTGAAAAGATGGTAAAACAAAGCCAAAATAGCATAAATAAAATGAGGCATAACATTAAGAATTTACTAACCTTGATTTGTCATGACTCTCATCCCGATATTACAACTCACTTTCTGAGAGCAAAGTTTGCCAAAAACATAAAACATATTGTATCCCCTGCAACTCCTCTCTCAGAGCCAGGTACCTTGGACCATGGGAACTAGAGGACAGTTAAATTACCTGGAATCAAGCCATCTTAGAGAAGAAATTACAAAAAATTAATACTTCAAATTTCCCCAGTCTGGGAACTGAATTGTCTGGGGGATCAATCTGATGTTGGGATACAGACATTTGCTTCTCTGGTATTTGTGGTATTTGCTATATTTAGAATACAAATATTGTACTACCCTGGGATGTTCCCCACTCCGTGATGCTCTTGAATCCCAATTGCAAAGAAGAGAGCAGGAACATTTCAGCAACTGAATTACATGGGAATCCTATGGCAAAAAATTCCTTTGCATCTCTCCCAGAAGAATGTAAGTAAATATATACAGAATATACACATAAATGTGCGTGTGTGTGCTTGTGTGTGCACACACTGAGAACAGATACATTAAAAAAAATTGCAACAGAGTGAAAAGTGTGCAACTCGGCACAGATGACTTTATAAAACAAATGGAAGATGCAGATGGACGGATAATTTGCGAGTGTACTGAGGGGGGAACATGTTGCAGTGGTTTTTCGTAATCCATCTAGTACAACAAATTTCATGGTATAATACTTTGTCAAGGACTGCAGTGAAAGCCAAGCAATTTCTCTGCAAATCCTGACAAAAAGAACTATCTCAACATTTACAATCATCACAGCTGCTAAAACAAACTTGAATGTGACCTTCAGGCCATCAGGGTACCTAGGCTGAGACAGTGAAATATAAAGAAATATATCTGTTTTAACAAACTTCTTTTGGGACAGGCTAAATAATAAATGGATGACAAGTGCAACTGAAAGGGAGCAGGAACTTTTTGCATCAGGATTTGTCCATCCAAAAACCCAAATTCCCAAACCTCCTAAGATGCAATTTATTCATACCATAAACCAGTCAGGATCAATAAGGATGTAAGTGGGGAAACTGGCACTAAGCAGAAATAAAAACTAGAGATTACTAAATGTGAAGCAAAACCAAAGTACAGCAAAAGCAGCCCCATGATGGTGGAGTTAGCTTCAACTATGAAGTGCAGCCACTGAAACACGATGAAATTAATTCTTAGGCTGGAGGAAATGCGCAAAGAGCCACTTTAACCTGCCCTAGTGCAAATGCACAGACAGGGTGCTCATTTCACCCTCAGCAAAGAAATTATCAGCACTGCACCTACAAATAAATGAAAAGATGACAGAATTCACATAGTCTGGATGGGTAAAGTGCACTCACCGTGCACAGCACTTAAAATTTGACATTTTCTATACCTGCAGCAATTTAACTCACCATGCTACCTGAGATATTTCCTATCTAAGTATTGGGAATACTACAATTACACTATCTGGGTATCTAATGTAATGCAACAGACCACCAATTTTTAGCGGCCCTAACTGTAAAAAAACAAACAAACAAAAACCAAGATGAGAGAGAGGGAGAGAAAACACCTCTATGTTAAGTTAAAGGTCTCATCAACTGCAGAAACCGCTAGGTAAGGTACAGCAGGCACTGGTTCAGACAATATGTAAATTAATTTGAAAAGTACTTAGCACTACACTAGAATCAAATAGAAGTATATCCGTAATATTCAAGTTGTATGTATGGCTAAAGCTAGCATTAGAAACACAGTGTTTTCCACTTGGGACTTTAAACCCTTTTAGTAAAATCCTGTCTTTGCATCAAATATTCATCTTCTGAAGGCTGCTATCAGTTGGTAATGGACTCATGGCCAAACCTGAAAGCTCACAGGGTTGGATGATTTTAGGTACCACTATTTTCAACACTAAAACTGAAATTACCTCTAGGCCATTAATCTGTCCCTTCAACTCTTTAGTAGCAAGGTAACAGGCAGCTGTAAAAAGCTGTGCTTAAAAAGCCAAGGAATACATTACTTGTCGTGACATTTATTTCCCTCCTATGTTCCTTCTCTTTTATACCTTGGATCCCTTCTTGCAGCATGCAGGCTCCTCGCACCAGTTATCCCAGGCACCCCTCCATTGCATCCATGTAGGACATGCTGTAAATAAGCTAAGCGTGCCTCTAAATCTGTTAAGAAATTCTCCTGCTCTGTGTTTCAGAAATACCTTGTAGAAAGGTCTCAGTTACTACTGCCTGCTTCCCTGCACTAGGTTCAAAAACTACTCATCCTGCGTATCCATGAGAGAGAAGACTGCACACTTATCATCATTATTCCTCTGTTTTGTCTTAGAGAAAACAGGCTGAATATTTTGGGATAGAGTAAATTTCCATCAGATGTACTCTCCTAGATGTCAGTGTGATGTTTGTTTATGTGATACAGAACTCAGTGCATGAGTGAAAACCAGCAATGCTTCATACAGACATCCAACAGTCATCACACAGTATAAATAAAGATTACTCTTATACTCCATTGCTTAAGAACTAATAATTTAAGTGTAAAATCTACTCATTTCTTTTGCTAATTTTTCTGTTATCCATGACATCCACTGCAAATACAGATCTCAAAATGCACACTACATTATTCTTCTGAAAGCATAGTGTAATTTCCTTCAGATCGGAATGAAACAATGCAGCTTTTGGAGACAAGTCCTACTGAGACAGAAGCTTTACATAGAGTTATGTCTGTTAATTATCAAAAAGAAAGGCATATTTTATAGGGAAGGAAGGTATGTACATGGACATCAGAAACAAACCCATAAAAAAAAGTTATGACATTCCTAAAGTTAATAATCTGCCAAATTTTCCATTATAAACTCACCACTCAAGAACCAGCAGCAAATCCATCAGTTAGCACACACCCCAGGTGCCCAGAAGGTCTGCTGAGCTTTGCTGCAGAGATGAGGGCGTTTGAGAGGAGCAGAGCAATGAATCCTTAGCAGGGACTACACAGCTACCATCCTGTGATACATGTGGCTGTGTGTTGCCTAATGAAGATGGAGGGAGCAGTCCAACCGAGGCATTTTTTTTACTAGAGCTGGACTTACCTCATACTGTCTGCCCTGAACAGTTTAATACAAGTTCAGACAAAGACTTCATAGGCAAAGAATACTGTTGAAAGATATTCTGAGGTTCACAATAAGGAGAAGATTTGCATAGCTTCGGTGGGTAACGGAGGTCTCTTGAGGTTTTCATTCATGTATAATAGTTATGCATAATGTTATTCAATTGCATTTCTGACTCAGCGTCTTTCTGCTGAATCGTGTCCCTTTTTGCTTCAGTTCACTTAATTTAGTTACTCAATGTTATTGTCATGTCCTCTCTCTTTTATGTAGAAACTGCACAGCCTTCTATCATCAGCGTACTCTGAACACAGAATAGTTGCTGGTGCTACAAAAGAAAGTTAAAAATATCAACTCCATAAGCAGGCCCTTCTCCATTAACTCACCATTAAAATGCGTCTGTAGCTGTCTCTGTCGATGCCCCAGAGCTTGAGATCTGTCTTGGCCTTGACGGTGGCAGCCCGGGGTGTTCCATAGATCAATGCCAGTTCCCCAAAACTGCCTCCTTCTCCGATGCTGGTGACCCACTCCCCATTGACATAAACCTACCACAGCACAAGACAAAACAAGACACAAGACACAAAATCAGTTTGAGGGTTTAGTTGTAGTTTGTCTTTTACTGCCAGTTACCTAAAATGCTATTAGCAACTTCCTTTCTAATCATCAATGCTGGGGGGGACCAAAAGAAATAAGAGCTTAATGGTTTCTGAAAAGGGTAACAATCTGTTTTGTGGACTGAATTTCAAGTCATCTTGCTTCAGTACAATGACCGTATTTACTCTCCGAGTTTTCAGCTCCCATGGTTAACTGGCATCGTGTTTTCCCTCTTGTGTTCAAGGCTCAGACAGTCAACAAGCAGAACTGTCACAACTTTGGCTTTTTATTAACACTGTCAAACTTGAAAGGAAGGAGTTTTGTTGATATGAGTAATAAGGTTTGCTGAAAAGCAGCGTGGTCACAAAATGAAAAACCGTCAAAACAGGGAAACATCTTTTGAAAAGGAATGAGTTTTTTTTTCTTCCCTAAGCCGAGTGGCTCCAACAACCATTTAAGTATAACTATTGAGATCTCTTTCTCCCTTAGTGAAGACTACTAAGTGTTTTGGACTTGAGAAGCTACATGCACAACTACTCTTCATCTTTAACATCAGCTTAGCCTATATAGATAACGTCTCCTCTTGAAACACGGTATGGATTGATACTACTAACACAGTATTTTTCCTGGATGACATCTGATTTGAGAATTCCTACACTTGAGTGCTATGTAAAACCTTCACTGGAGAAAGGAGGACTCATGCAGGTGCCTTCGGCAGGGCTGCATTTTCCTCGCTGTTTGTGGACAATACAGCCCATAAGACATAACAGAGTATTGCTGTGGACTGTGTATGCTGGAGCTTGCTTGTAGGCTTACTGCTATAAACTTGTACAATAAACCTTTTTCATTCTGTTAATGTGTCTGTGAGTTTAGAGGGTAGGAAAGGCTGTGTGCATTTACCCAGCATAGAATATATCCCAATCTGTTACAGACTGATAACAGCAGAAATCAACCTGAATTAATTTAATGTTTGGAAGCTCTGTGAAGAAAAATAATATGAAGAAAATACGCAGGCACTCTCATCTGAAGCATAAAACTATGGCAAAGGAAAAGACCATAACCTATTGCCAATTACTGAATAACAGACAAGCAGTTTTTAAAAAAGATATGAATTAGAGCTGTGTTCAAGCTGAGCATAAGAAAAGACAGTGACCAAAATAAATGAACTGGGGTCAAAATTCAACAGTGAGTATTAATTTTACTTCTATCTTCATTTTATGATGAAAAGGCATATTTCAAACTACAGCTGGAATCAATCCCAATTTATCTTCCCAGTATTCAGTAAAGATCTGATCCAGCTCCTGCTGAGGTCAGGGAAATGCTGGTTCAGTACGGGATTGATGAGGCTACAGAGCAGTTCAGCTGATCAAGAGACCTCTTGGGTATCAGCTGCAAAGGAGCAGCTTTAGCACCACTGCTGAACTCCAGGCAGTGTTGTGGCTCTTGGTGTTCCTGGAGCATCAAGGGGTTGGAATAAAGGGTAAAAATAACCCCAAACAGGCAGGTGGTGACAGACTGCCAAGGAAGAGCTCAAGCCACAAAAGCTATAGCTTTGTTTCTTCACCATGACAGAATGAATGTCACATAGGAGAACATCACACAAGAGAATAACAACAGAGTTTCCTTTCAAACTTTTCCACTCACCGAAGAAAGAAAATCTCACAGAACATTGAATCTACTTTTGATTCTCCTGATGATGGAAAAAATGAAAGTGAAAAAATAAGTTTTAAAAAAGCCAGGCAAACCCAAGCACTTTTCAGGTGAAACAAGCAGGTAATCCTGTGGCTCCTGGATCTTTTTTTGTGAGACAAGCAGGAGAAATGGATGAATAAAATTAGGATTCTGAAAGGCTTGTGACATAATGAGAATGTATGAAAAAAATTAAACTTAATTATTCCATTTCAAAATTGTCTAGATGCATATTTGAATGTAGGGATACCCGCTTTCCATGGGGATTTCACTGGATGGACACAGGGTTTGCTACAGTACAGAAATTCATGTCCTCAGCAAAACAACTCGGGGACAATGGGGAAAATCTGATAATTCCAATGAATTTTTGGACCACATTCTGCATGCCAGCTGACATTGCAACTTTGACTCTTTTTTAGCGTACCAAAAATACATGTTTCTATATGCTCTTTCATTGAAACCCATGGGTTCTGTTATTGCAGAAGGCTCCAAATTATAAGCAGCAAATAAACTTATTCCAGCACGTATTTTCTTAAGCAATATGGTGACAGTTCTTGTTAAAGCAGCATGCATTATATGACTGCAGCCCAGAGAGTGGAATTACGCTGGTAAAACTCAAGGTAGAGCAAGTGAAAGATGGACATTTACTGCTGTATGGTTGTTATAAAGAGAGGCTACCACTCAAATGCTCTAAGACTTCTTTACTTTTGCTGTCTTACTTGACAAGACTCCCCAAAAAGTGTTTGACATCTCGCCTGTAAACAGTTTGTGCAAATGGCCATTCCTCCACCCTAAGGGTGTCAGGTTTAAAGTACTTTAAGGTGAAACCAAATCACTGATCTGACAGTCTTTGGGCCCAGCATTCACTCCCTCAGCAAGAATGCCATTTCAAATATTAATCTCCAAAAGAGAAAACAGCTTGAGAATAATTTTTATTTTCTAGAAAGAAAACCATTGCACTTCATCCTCTGCAAAGGCCTAAGTCAACAACCAATTTTTGTCTTCATGATGAAGTTAAAGTACACTGATGGCACATTATAAAGCTATACTGCCCTTTAGCAGAGAGTTCAGCTTACTATGAATCCCTTTAAAATAGATTTTAAAAATGAAGTAGAAAGGAAAGTTGCTGTGTTTGTAAGGTGTGGGAAGTAAAGCTATTCTAGGCTCAGAACAGCTTATGAAAGCCAATGTTATATGGCAGCAGCTCAGATGATCTCCTTCTTTACCCTAAAAAATGCTGGGCTGAGGTTTTGGCTCAAGCAGTTTTAGGCATTTGTGAACTCTCACCACAGTGGCAAGTACATAAATGAATTATTCCTAGTTGTTACTTGACCTGCTGATCACAGCTCTGTAATAGTTGGAAACTTCTTTCCTGCAGCTGAAGAAGAACGTAGAACTGCAGATGCCCAAATATGACCAAGTCATCAGGACCACTTACTTTCCACAGATCAAAAGTACTTCAGATTTCTATTGTTCTCCATCAAGAGCACTGCAATTTTTGCGGGCTTGAAAATCCCACAACTTGGTTCATTTCACTATTTCGTTTAGGAGGCAAATGGGAATAATCTCCTCTGAATATCAGCAGTTCCTTTCTTCATGGGCTGTGATATACATAGGCGCTAACTGAGAGAGAAAAGGCAGTGAGTCACACAATGCAATGGGAATGCATCTCGGCCTCACTCATCTTCGTGTCATCTAGAGAATCACAAAGTAACCTTACCACAAGTAATAATAGAGCCATTTTACTTTGAAAGCGGGATATGAACATCTATCTCTGAACTTCTTTGGAGTGAATTTACCTTTACTTAATTTTGTATTGCTGATTTCAAGTTAACATTTTGCTTTTTTTTTTTTCCCTGCCACTCTGTGATCTATGTGGACAATCTAATTTGTTCCAGGCACTGCAGCTTCTAGATCTTAAATCCCCTCCCTCGGATCTGTTTGTAATAATTTGTGCTTTGTGTCTTGTCGAGCCTTAATATTTGTTATCCAAAAATGAAGATGAGGTTTATTTATTCTTGGAAAAATAAGCAAGCCTTAGGCATGAAGGGTATTTATATGTGGGTAGTTTTCTCAAATAAAGCCAGTGCTTTATTTGTAGTATAAATTTGGTTTTCTTAAATATAAATATATAAACTTGGAGACTGCCTTGAAAATCCTTAAAAATTCAAGCTGAAATACTCCAAAGTTTTAAATGTCATTTCAAATTTAGAAAAGCATCCTCCTGAAATTAGAAAGATCATTAATGAGGGAAGAATTCAAACCAAAAGCAATGTATGGAATCTAAACCATAAAATAAAACTAGTTTTAAAATCCAACGGTATTCTCACATAAACCACCACGTAACTTTCATCTTTGTATATGCAAATTATACAGTTCGTATGTATGAATAAGGACTTCAAGAAGATTTGACCTATGATCACAAGACATTCTTAATCTATGGTACACAATATTCATGTATAATACAGCTTCACATATAGATTTATACAGTAAATACAGAAAATATTTAAGAAAAAAGACTTAAAAGTTTTCATTTTTATTTTCACCAAACTATAGTCTGGCTGCTGATGTTTTATAAGAAGAAAACTTGAGAATGACTGTAGAGAAAGTTGCTGTGACATTAAATAGAATAGGAAGTTGTTGAGTCTAAAAAAAAATACATCTGTTTTAAAGGAGTAGTTGACAGTGCTTTTTTAAAGTAAAAAATGTGAGGTTTTAAGATTAAAATAATAAACAGGAAGTCATTTTTATATTTAGAAATATGGATTAGAGATTTTTGCAAGACATACTTTAGCAGGTACTTTCAACATCTTTACTGGAAACTATAATTTCAGTTCTGCCAGCTACTTTTTGGCATAAGTTCACATTTGTCTGAGCAGAAAAGCTTCCGGTAGACAACTGACCTCTAGGACTTCAAACCCCATGCCACTGTCTGCCTCGTCTAAACTTCAAACATCTGTAGGGCCCGGTCAGGAGTTAACAATTCTCCTCAACCCTGAAGTGCTAAGGAGGAAGACTGCGACTGATAACACTATTATGTCCTTTCCTATCCAATGCCAGCTTTGGTCAAAGTATACCTGGTTTGTAGTACACAGTATATGTAAGGAAAACTCCAGGCTCTCCAAGACCTACCTCCTTCTGATTTCTAAAAATCTTCATTTTACACATGAAAATTTGTGTTCTTCTCCCTTGGCCCACAGTCCATGTTGAGCGCACTTGCCAGCAGAAAGGTATTGAGTCCTCTTTGGCTGTCCATAGTAACAGATACAGATAAGGAAATGTAGAGATACTTTATTCTATGCTAACGAGGCTTGTTTATATCCTAAGAGAGTGTAAGAGTTGAGGATAAAGTGTTACTATATTTAAAAATATTTTATTGTACTTCTAATTTGAGATTATTTTTAAGGGAAAATATTAGAATGCTATTACTTACTCCTTGGAGTGCCTATGACAAAATTCTAACAGTGAATTTCTTTTAACTATTGAAGTTTTTAAACTCAAAACTCCACACACTGATTTTGTTATTCTGGCTTTGTTGCTGGTTTCTGTTTGGTTTTGGTTGCTTGGTTGACAGACTTTATTTTTTTCAGTTTTGCCATGACTTTCTTCCAAGGGATGGGAATATTATGATGGCAATTACAAGCTCCTTTATGTGTATCTTTGCATGTGTATGGAAAACCCATGTGTTTATCAGTCATGATGTCCTCAGAGTGAATTGCTCCTGGCATACCTGCCACTTCTGTGCAGATGATGAAGACAGAGAGCCTGGCCAGGGGTTAAGAGCCTTCATGCGTATGCCAACGCCAGCTGAACTAGGCAGAAAATGGCTTGAGGCTTTAAGTCTTAGGGTCAATTGACTACTCTCCAAGTCCCCTTTTTTTCTTGGAGAAGGGTGGAAGCATGCCAAAAAAGTGTCTGGCAAGGCTTAAATGAACTGCAGCTCACTTACTAGAGGTCTGGATTTTCTTCAGACAATAAGGATTTTAGCACTGCTGCCCAGAAAGTAGAAGAACTCTTTTCTGGGGAGCACTATATACGGTGTGATACTGCACACCCATGGGGTCTGGGAGCTGCTGCCTTATACAGGAGCAATTTATTCTGCACTAAATGCCCTGGTACAGACTTTACTTGGTGGTGCTGAAAATGGGCTCGCTTCCCCACAGCTTCCCAGTGAGGGCAGCTAATATAGGTAACTTTTGTAGCTACCAGAGTATAGTTGTAACTTGCTCCTGGAGGAGCGAATGTTTCTTGTGCCTCCTACAGTATCTTGCAAAGGAATTCAGCATGTGCTTTGGCTGAAGATGTAGGAAAGTCTTAGGAAGGAGAGAGAACCCAGCTGAGGAGATGGGGAGAGCCGTGGTAAGATACAGCAGGATGAAAGAAAGGGGGATGCTGAAGTGGGACAGCATGAGAGTTGGACACAGAAGAGTTTTGCAAGACTCAGAGGGTTCAGGAGCTTTGGCTGCCCCTGGAATAAGCTCAGTCCAAATGACATCTCCTGAGACTTGTTAGAATGTATTTGTCCCACAGCTGATTTCAGAAAACTGTCCATACTGGTGTCTGAGAAATGTTAGGATGACATTATTATGATCTGCCTATTTTGACCTGCCCTAGCAGATATAGGCTGATTTTGGCAATTAGGAGAGTGGTCCTTCAGAATGTTTGCCAAAGCGAAATTGTGATCTACTCAAGGAAACCCAGTTATTTCATTCATTGCTTAGAAAATGTGCTGTTGCAAGTCTTTCGCAAAGAAGGCAGGAAAAATTTATGTCCTGTATCATACCTAAGTGACTGTAGGACTGCAAACTACTCAGAATACAAAGAAAACTTCTGTCTTCAACACTAACAGTGTAAAATAAAGCTGTGCACTAAGCTGTTGGTTTAGCAAAACAGTCAGTCCCACTGAAGTCAATAGAATTGCTCATGTACATAAAGGAGAACTGGTGCTTAGCCTGTCAAATCAGGGGTCTGGGATAATATTTTCAAAAACATCTATCCAGCTTAAGAGCCTACATGTAATTGCATTGCAGTGGCACTGGGGTCATTTCATCTCTGGGGCAGTTTTACAGCTTTTACTCCAAATCCTACCTCAGAAGCCTCACAGGGCCCTGAGTTGTTCTGGGAAATATAAGATTATTCTGCAATAGCCTTTAATGAACTCAAAAACCAATCAGTGAAAAATGATCTGGACACATGTCTCCTTGTGGGCCATTTGTGACAAGGTTATTTATGAACTTCAACTTGACATAAAAACAAGGAGTATCTCTGATATGGAAGTAACATGACACAGTACAGGTGTTTCTGAGAAGATCACAGAACGTTAGGGATTGGAAGGGACCTCAAAAGCTCATCCAGTCCAATCCCCCTGCTGGAGCAGGAACACCTCGATGAGGTTACACAGGAAGGCGTCCAGGCGGGTTTTGAATGTCTCCAGAGAAGGAGACTCCACAACCTCTCTGGGCAGCCTGGTCCAGTGCTCTGTCACCCTCACTGAGAAGAAGTTTCTTCTCAAATTTAAGTGGAACCTCCTGTGTTCCAGCTTGTGCCCATTACCCCTTGTCCTATCATTGTTTGTCAATGTCAGGATATACTTGGCAAGGTAACTAAGATGCCATCTTATGTGATAGAGAATAGAGAAACCAGTGCTCTAAACAAGTCCTTCTCAATGTCTGCAGAGCCATGGCCACCTTGGCCATTAGCTGCAAACACCAGTTATAGAAAATCCACAAACCACACTGTGCAATGGTTTTACAAGCAGACAAAAAGCTGGCTAGGCCCTGAACATTTATTTTCCCCATTTTGTCACTGCTTTGTAAGAGTGATATGTGCATACAGTAGATTTTTGCAATTAATTGCAAAGGTTTTGCTGACTATTTTCTGATGTCATTTAATCTGCCGCTAAACCTGAGCCAGACGCTGAAGAAAACTTTCCTAAAGGTTCTGAGCGAGGACAAATTATTTTTAAAGAAGATTAATCTGTAAGTTCAATATGTGCATTTGCGTATGTTTGTGGGTCTGATTCAAAGCCAGCGAACTCATTAAGCTCGGTATCAGGCCCTAACCAATTATTTTAAAAATAATTTTTAGCGCAGTTCTATAAATACTACTCTTTTATTTTCTGGCCCTGTGGATGTGGCAATGTTTGCTATTGAGAGGTATGCCTGATAGGAACAGTGAGTCAGACGGATTTCCTGAGGAGCAACTTCCAGAGGCAGAGGCAGCATGTGAGGTTTCTCAATTCCCAACAATACCAATTAGATGGTCTCCTGACACAAACAAACTGCTAAAAAATAACTTTCACTAAAATAACTGTATGCCTCCTGCCTGGATTTAAAATAAATCACTTTCTTCTTTAAATATGCCAAACAAAACTCATATGGGCATCCAAAGAGCAACGCTGCTAATGAGCAAGCCTGTCCTATCCAACAGCTGTGGATAAATAAGGTGTGTGTAGAAAATTCGGTCAAATAAAGAACTGGCAGCAAAACTGCAAAAGGGTAAGTTTTATATGGGATAAAAATGGTAAGAGGTGAATAGATTATGATTTGGAAGGCAGGTTCAGAAAGAAGCTTCTTTTCAAAGACATGCTGATTAAACCACTGCATACTCCCATAAACATTTTGTGGTCTAGCAGATCACTTTACACTTATAATAATCCTTGCTTTATTAATATGCTGCATTGTTCATATATTTGGACCTAATTTTAAAAGCAAATTAAGGTTTCTAAGATGAAACTTGCTGCCTGAGGCTGTATCTCAATTTGGGGGGAAAAAAAAACGCAACACATGAGCTAAGCTAACTGATTAAAGAAAATATTTTCCTTATGGTTGATCTGAACCCTCGGGTGCATTCCAGCATGGTGGCCTGCTCTGCCAAAGACTGCACACCTCCAGGTGTGGTTAGGGTTCTGAAGATAACGTCATGTGCTTGGTTTTGATACCATATTTTCCTGCACGGAATGGACAAATAAGCTAGGATGTAAAACATGCCAATTATGAAATTATGCACAAATGACTTAACACAACAAAAGCAAAGTAATGAGACCAATCCTGTGAAATCTATTTCAAGAAGGAAGGAAATAGAACCACAGCACACGGCTGGATCAACCTGTGAGCCAGAGCGTACAGTTTTATTATGGAGCTTCAAAATAAGTATTAAACTGGAGGAGTGTACTTACATCCACCTCGCCTTGGTCAATCACATAGAAGTTATCACCTTCATCACCTGGAAGCAAAATACAAAAGGTGATTGTTTCCTGAAGGTCTGCTAAACTACTTAATAATTTCCTATCTCCATATTTAATCCTGTACATATTTGCACAGGTTTGTACACCAGGTTACTTACAGAGAGATTAATTTTCTGAAACATCCTTGCCTATTTGCCTTCATAAATCAAAATATTGCTATGATTTCTTCCTGTTAATATCTTTCAATTGCATTGACTTATCTCCCGATTGACTCAACACTTCAGTGTAAACACACAGGAGGCTTTAATACAGCCTGAGGGTAATGAAGTCCTCCACACTGTGCTGCAGGCATGTAGGTAAGTTGCCAAGTGTGATAACTATGATACAGCACAATGAGGTGTTGAATATTCCCAACAACCATAAAAATATTTTCCATCTCCAATTACTCTCAGCTAGCCTGTGCCACCCTTGTGCATTCTGAGTTGTGGTTCACTTCCTGAGAATCTTCAGTTAAGGAATGAACATTTTAATTTCAAGTACTATTTATCTACATTTAACTGTAGCATTTTGAAACCCTGAAGGGACCTGCACCCATGAACTTCTGACAGAGCTGCACACTTAAAAGCTTTTGGAAGATGGTTATTCTTCCTGTTAAGCAAAGAGGGTGAAATCTCAAATGGAGAGATGTGAAATGTACAATCTTAGCAAACACACAAGGGAAAAAATGAGAGCAAGAGTTACCCTGTTGTATGACTGTTTCTCCTGCGATGTGTGTGACGGGGAACATGGCATCGAATATGTCACTAGGAAAAAAAGACACTTTTATTAATTAATCAGACCTATTTATTGTCTCGCCAGTAGACCTACCTTCATTGTTTCATTTAGCCTTGATTAACAGATTTTGCAGAAAAAGAAAAGGCAAATGTTAGTTATAACTGGAAATTGAGCCCCTGCTCAGCAAGAAATCAAAATAACTAGTTAGGCACAAGCTGTGATTAAAACTAAGTGAGACTGTGATTCAGTGCATGCTATTTTGAAAGAACTCCTGAATTATATGCATATAGGCGACTTCTTATAGCACTGCACAAGCTAGCCAGCCTCAGTATTTTATTGTCTAAGCAAGCAGATGTCAGATTTTCAGCTGTGACCGGTACATGTCACAGCAGTAATTGCTAGATGCCTAAACAGGAGCTCTCTTCTGAACATCTGGTCTCACATTTACAAGCAAAACCTGTTCCACAGTAGAGAGCACTTTTGGAAAGGTAAATGGCTCTAAATTAATGCAGCATAAGAGCTGGCAAGAGAATGCAGTCACAGTGCAGAAGAGCCCAAACTCTGAAAATCTTTGCAAGTTACTTGAGAGAAGGGAAGTTGACCAATGCTACAGCAACACCGACGCTGCAGAGGAGCCTTGTGCTCATTAATCATCGCTGAATTACACACCTTACTGTGGTCTCCGGCATACTGTCACATAGCCTTAAAAGGCCAGGCAGAGCAGTAAGGACGGGAATGCACCCTGCACCAACACTTTGGGCAAGTTGCCCAAATCCAGTCCTTTGTTTATTGAGGGAGAGAGCAGGCTCCCTGGAGCCAGGGCTTCCTTTCCCCACATCAGATTTTGGGGAACTTATTTTCAGAAGCATGAACTGCACCCAGACGGGCACTCCCCACCTCTCTTCCCCTTCCTATGCATCACTCTCAAGGGCTAAAGGAAATAGCTCCCCTACGCAAACAAAAGGCAGCAAGGAGGAACTGTTAACCAGTCTCTTCCCTGGTCTGGTCCGGAATGGTCCATCTGGGGACCACCGATGACAACACCGGGATGAAATGCATCCTCCTGCAATGGAGCAACATCCTCACAATTCTAACGGAGCATCACCAAAGAAGAAACCTAAAGTTTTCATCAAAATAGCCAGAAGATCAGCAAACAAACCCAAGCTACATTTCAATGCCTTATATGGGAAATGCATATGGGTAAAATCCCATTATTAGCTTATTTCCTGTTCAACTGTTCCAGAATTTATTCAGGCTCAGTTCTAGGAAATGTTTCACTCCTAAGTTCAAATTGGTCATGTCTTTTCTCTTCAGCAGCCACAATGTTTCTGCTCAGTATTGCAGCTCTGTGTCAGCACCGCTTGTAGGAGAACTGGGAGGTCTGAACCCAGGCACCTCGTGCTGCTCCACAGTATCTGCAAGGGATGCTTAGCCCATGACCTAGACTAAAGTGATATATTTTACCGCTGTTGTTTCATCAGGCCCACCCTGTGCTATTCCTACTCACATTCAGGAAATACCACCACCATGGGTAAAAAGCCTGCTCAGAGGCTCTAAGGAGAAACCTCTTTCTCACCTCATTCTGAGCACCAGTGCAAAGATTTAGAATAAATTATTCTGAAAAGTATATGGACTGTATTCTTAAATCCACTAAGGTATTTTTTAACAATCTTAAATGGGTTCAGCATTTCTTCACTTCAAGGGATTTGACAGAAAGCAGAAAGCATCCGTCTGGTGCAGGCTTTGGAGCTCGTCCCTGTGCCAAATCTTGCTGCCCTCCACCTAAAAGAAATGGAAGCAGAGGTTCAGATGGGACAGGGAACACTACCACAATGGTAGGTGCTGAACTGGAACAGCCACTGAAGGACCTTATGTTGATGAGGCAAGTCAAGCTGTTCTTCAGTAGCTCCAAGACCTGGAAATTCAATGCGACAGAGGCTCATTTGCCTCCCTGTGGTTTCCCCTTGGCTGTGCCTGGGCACCTCACTGAGCTTTAAAAACAGCCCTGCAGCCTGCGGCAGATTTACTGGAGGAAAAGGTACTCAACGTGGCAGAGAAGAAAGTCTTCAATGCGATACATCCAAAAATAGGCATGACACTGTGAATATCAATAACCAAACCAAAATGTGACTGTTTGAACAAACTTGGAAACCTTTTTAATAGAAATACAGAGGAAATAACTACCCATGGTTTCACCCTTTCATCTTTGTTTTAAGGCAGTATTCTATTTATAACTTAACAATTGCCTGTGCAAACAGTGCCCAATAGATTATGTAGAGAACAGCACCCTTCTCCAAAACGTTCCACATTTCATTTCTATAAACTTTAGTTTCATCAAAAAAAGCCCTTTAAAACTCACAGACTAAAACTTTCAGCTGACAGTGTAATGAACCCAAAGTCTATTAGCAGCAACAGCAGTTTTACACTAATATTCTGCTGTGTAGCGGTGTAAATATCCTAGCACCCCAAATAAAATATGTTTTAGCAAAGCCTTAACCTTATTAGACCAAGACTTGGATTTTTAAACAGACCTTTGAAGGACATGACATCAAACATTAGTCTAAAACATGTATGAACACACAGTTCAAAGGTACCAAAGTCATGGTGATACTGATTTACATCTCCAAAGTGATTATCTTTGATAAATAAATGCAAGTGAGCAATAATATTATGACTGTCACTGGAAACACATCTTCGTGTTTCTTTTCTACAAGGGAACTGTTGTTCTTAATTGACATGGTTAGGCCAAGATGTCTCACACTGATTGGTGAGCCAGAGTGTTTCTGGTTTTGGATGCTCAATTTGAGATTCATTAAACAGACTCAGATCTCAGATGATATGGATCAGCAGGCAGCACCACTGAAAAAAAACCACCCTAGTGAAAATTACCATCTCCTAAAGTACCAAGTGCTTAAGGTCCTCATATGAAACCTGGCTTTTTATTTAATTCAGACTAAGCGTAGAATCTGTTTGGAAATTTTTCTTATTGCCTTTATCCTCAGTGTCTGAAATAAACACAAAAATGTCTCAAGGACCAATATACCAAAATACTTTGAAAATTTGAAAAATTTGTTCCTGACCCAAGCCAAAATCTGAAACTACAATAAACAGAAATTTTTCACCTCCCCAGGAAACATCAGGTGCTCCGTACTCAGTTTCAGCCATGTGTCCTGGGTCTGAACTATGTAGAGAAACCAACTTTTAAAGGTTTAAAGTATTTAAATATTGAATGAGTTAAGAAGTGGCACTTGCTAAAGCCATAAAGAATATGGCCAAGGCCAAAAATATGACATCGTTTTTTTCCTGTACCATGCACTTGTCTGTAAGACATTCAAAATCACTCCCTCACCATTACAGTAGAGAAAATACCCTAACAAATATAGTGCTGCAACCATCTCACCACCAAGCAAAGACTATAGCTATGTTCTCCGACAGCTCTGCAAAAGGAGGTAGTTTTATTTCTGGGATTTGAAGGTTTTGTTAAATAATTAGGGCCGAACACATGCATACACATTCCTAAAAACCAATTTCTTCTAAAGCACAAGCAGGTTTTATTCCACCATAAAATGAAAACCAGAAAATCAGTAGTTAAATCTTCACCAAATGTTGAACTACCATGATTTCATCTTCTGTCTGAGCTGCAGCACCAAGAACACAGCAGCCTCTGTCTTCTGCCCCTGCACCAGCCATTGAACCATTGACACCGACGGTGCCAGCAATGCTGTGCGCTGGATTGATGCAGAAAGGGTTGGGTTTTTTTGCCAGGATTTTTATGATCACACTGTAAATGAGAACTGCTGAGAGAGATTTCCTTATTGTGCTGAAAATGTATTGTTTGCGCTGTTTCCAGATGACTTCTTCAGGTGATGGACGAAGAAAATAGGGCACCAGTTCTGGTATTTGAGCTGTTGTTTCATGAGACTGCAACCAAGAGAGACAAAATGCACCCAGCATGTCCCAGACTCAGCATCAGCACTTGGAGGGCTTTTTCTCACCCTCTCCAGAGCCAAAGCTTTTCATAAGTTTTGCCATTTTTTCACAGCTTCCCTACCTATTTCCAGAGGATCTGTATCTGGTTACCTGGAGTAAAACATTTGTTCAAATCAGAAGTTATCAAGGACAATTTTTGGCTTGGAAGTGTTGTTGCAGGTGGGACTGTATGGACCTGAATATCTACATTTGGATCCGACGGGAGACGCTAGCAGGACATCACTTATGTTTGCCAGGGGGATTTCTGCACGTTTAATTCTTTGTAACTTTTTGATAGCATCATTCAACAACAAATTAAAAGAAATGATTGTGAGCAGCATAGAACATACAGAGAGCAGTTAACAAGTCCAACAAAGTGAAACCAAGAAATGCGTCTAGACATGAAATCTCTATCTATTCCATCAAAAAATACCATCTGTCTTCTTAGGGAATATCAAAATTTAAAAGGCTTTTTTAAAGAGGTCAAAGATATCAAAGGCTTGCAGCAAGTTTTAACACATCAAGTGTCTTCTATGAGTGTACAGGAGAATTGCAAATAACTGCGATCAGACCTAATATCACAGGGGCTGATCCTCTGCTGTCTGACATCTGTAATGACTTCTGGCCACCTGTCCAGGTTGGGCCAATTCCCTTCTCATGCAAAGAAGGAAAACTCATATCAGTGAGATCACAGCTATTTGGACCAGCAAAGTCTATCACAGTGATTGCAAAATAAATATGATTAAACACTTTGCTGATTTCATTCAGTGGCAGTTCATAGACCTGATTTGCCAAGATGCAAATGACTGTGCTAAGAGGAAGCCAGTAAAGAGGGCAGGGCCAAGGGGTTCTCTTTCTCACGAGAAAAAGTGAGTGATAAAAATAAATCATCTCATCTGTCTTTACACTGAGGCTGCTTGGAGTTGATGTAGAATACGAGATAGACAAAAAAAATAATGTGCACTGTAGGTAATACAGCACTGGGAATAGGCAACTGAGAAGCTGCTTGTTGAAACAAAGTGAGAGAAGGAGGATTCCAGGCACTTTCAGAACCAGACCA